CCCCCCCCCCCGCGTCAGGGCCACTCTTCCCCACTCCTGCCTCTCCACCTGTCCTTATCCTTGCTGCATGCGGGCAGGCTCCATCCCTGCTCTAGCCTGGGGCATGGCCCCGGTCCAGGCCCTATAGCAGCTGGGCTGGGGTTGTGCTTAGTGCCCTAGGATGGAGCCTGCAAATGAAGGGTAAGGGGTACAGAGGCTGCATAAAGGTGAGAAATGGTGCGGGGAAGAAGAAGCTGTAGGGGGGAGATGGTAGGGTTCAGATCTGATAGGGGGGCTCAGGCAGTGGCTGTGGCTGCAGCCTCAACCCTGGTTAGGAGCTGGAGCCTGAGCCATAGCAGATGCCTGCCCTCATCCTCAATCACTCTTATACCTAATTATAAGGTGAAGGGTTTGCCCCGGTGTTAAATGGGGAAAAATCCTAATATTAAAATTGAGTAAATAGAGTAGTGTATTCTTGATTTTTACGGCCATTTATTTTCCTTCCTGTCAGGTTATTCTCCTAAAAATGCACTTCAAATAAATGTTAAAATTAAGTGTGGTAGCATATTAACGTAGTAGTATTTAGATAAGGTTATCAGTTGCAACATTTGTATAAGTCCTAGCTGAAAGAAGACGGATTATTGCCTCAGTCTATAAAAGTAAAATATCTCCACATACTAGAAATTGATATCTGATTTCTCTGTTTGGTCTCCTACTCTGCAGGCCTCCATACTTGGCAGTCACATACTTGGTGTTGTCTGAACCTATGAGCTGTAGCCATGCTGGGTGGTCCCCCCCCCCATATCATTTGTTTAAATATTTGTAGTTATTGTCTTAGTGTTAAACACGTCCATGTCAAGGTATAAAATTGAGCTATTGTTGAGAGTCTTGAGTCTCTGTGACGACTATCCCATTGTCTCCAGTGGGACATACAATGACCACAGGCATCAAGGAGGTAATTAAGGTCACATAACTTAGGGCATCTGGTCCGAGCTGCTTTGTACACCTTCATAAGAAAATGAAGATAAAAGTCCTAAGTAGGTGTCAGTTTACATACATACATACCTCACTTCTGGGCAGTGCTCCTTGCCAGTGATTCCTGTACAGGTATACATATAGTTTTTAGCTTAGGAAATGCAGCTAAAATGTGTAAAAATGTGCGTGTGCTACAGTGCATTCAGTGTGCTACAGTGCATTCATTTGTCCTTTTAACACTAGCCAAAAGTGGGCATGGGTGTTTTGAGCTAAAAATGGGTTGTTTTTATAATAAAATGTAGAAAGGCTTCCATAGAGGTGCTCAAAGCACTGTGTTTATTTTTTATTTCCTCTGTTTTTTCCTTTCTCCCCCTTGTGTCCATATTGATGTCATTTGTTCAAGGTTTTAAACGTATTTTTTATGGGATGGGTTCCCACCCTATTGTCTCAGGAAGGAATTGGAAATCCTTTTTAAAATACTGAGCCAAATGATTGCTTTTTGCAAATCAGAGGACAATAATTTAATTCCCTCCAACAACCATCTTCTTTGCATTTCGTAAAGAAAGTTTAATATGTGTTTGGATTTTTTTGTAAGTATGTTAGGAAATATTTCTAGAATGATTAAATTACATGAAAGATATTCCACTTTAGAATATGATCCAAGAGTTAATTAAAAAGCCTTCTTTTGAGGTAGTTTAGTTCTTATTAGGAATTCACAGTTTTTTTTGTTTACAAAGACAAGTTCATATGTGAAAATGACTGACTGTATAATAGGAACAAAGAACTATCTTTTTCTTAAAAAATGGCCTTATTTCATAAATTATCTTGCCATCTCTAAATCTTATTATGGTTTGCTACGCCATTCTCATAAGAAATGATAATTAGATATCATTGGCCACAGCTGAGCTGCTTCCTTTCTAAATTCCTTTAATTTTTTTTAAAGACTTATGCTTCTTTGGGCCTGAAATTTCTTGCACTTAAACTGAATCCAGACAGTTATAAATGTTTGTATATTGTTTTTATGGAAAAACTGAGAATGTATTCAGTTATTTGAAATGTCAAAGTGGGGGAAAAGTATTTTCACATGTTGTGGAAATGGTTTTTCACTTGGGTAATTCAAATGTTTTAACTTTAAGGTCTCCGTGGATTTAATTCTTTACATAAATTGTGAAAGATGCCTTTAGACATGTACAAATAAATGTGTTTGGGACAAGAAATAAGATCTCTCCATTAAGTATGTTAAGTGCCCAGTGCCAAGCATATCCACCCATTGAAATAAACTCAGATTCATTTATTTCAGTTATTTGAAGTTCAAATAAATGCATGAGTCTCCATATATTAGATAAAAATGTGTATGTATGGATGGAGCAGTCATTATTAGGGAGCCTGGTTTTCTCCGATTTTAAAAAAAAAATCCCCAATTTTCGGGTTAAAAAAATAGTAATCCCAAATCCACACTTTTCCTTGATTTTAAAATTAAATGTCACACACCACTAATGTGTAGATTATATATCTATGTATTAGTGGTGTTTCATTTTGATCGTGGACAAATGTGTATTTTGGGTTATTTTTTTAACCTGAAATTTGGGGATTTTTTTTTTAATCGGAGAAAACCAGAATCCCTGGTTATTACCCAGTTAAACTTACAAATCAGGGACTTGTAACTGGCTGTATGACGTCCCTGATACCCAACATGCTGAGCAGATCTTGGATGCAGGAGAGAATCAAACCCAGTGTACTAGAGTAATACTGAAGTACGCTCAGAGAATGTACGTATTTTATTAGGAATTTAAATTTTGATCTCTCTCTCTCGATCCCTTTCTCAGATGATAAGCAGACTAATTGAAATGTCCACTACAAGGACGGGAGTCTTTAATATAGTACTAAGCTATTGCTGTCAGTCTTGGGTACTTTCTACTTCTGATGACGCACATATTTCAGAGAATCCCTTCTTGAATGCTGGTGAATACAGTGAACTTCTTATGGAGGCTTCTGTCTTTGGAACTGTATTCCGGCGAGATCAAAGGTATAAAATACTAGCTTTGCATTATGGCTGTGATTTTGTGTTCTAGTATTTGTTACAAAATAGGTTGGGGTGGACAGTCCACATACCACAGTACACATACCACAAGTGGCAGAGGCAACCTTCATGTGTGGTACTTGGTAGACTGGGGAGGGAACAGGCAGCACAGTGGCAGACAAGGCAGGAAGCTGAAAGCAGTGCATCAGATCAGGCTGGGAGCAAAAAAGAGCAGTAGATTGAGCAGATAAAGGGGATTGCAGTGATACTTGAGAGTGCACGGCTAATTAATGACACCTGCCAAAAAGGTTGGCCTCCATTGAACTAGATAAAGGATTTAGAATCTGTTTTTTTTGTATCCTAGTTTCCTAATTTTATATTCTCATCCTCTTTTGCATAATTTTTCATATGAAAAGACTTATTCAGGATGTACATGCCTTTGTAGAAAATCTTGGAGATAAATGTGCAGCAAATGTTGTCACAGAAAGGTAAGCATTAAGAAAACAGGCTTTGTAATATGTAATATTATGTACTGCATCCTTCATTGATGTTGAGACTTGGAATTATATTGTTTTCTTTGAAGCTCGATTCTTATGAACACATTAATAAACTTCACGTTTCATGTACATACTGCTGGCAGCACTTAGTAGTTGGGAAAAACTCATTTAACTCAGCCTGTAAGGATTATTCTTTTCTACAAATTACTGAAGTTTCCGAAATTCCATAAGTCGTAATTTACATGCTAGTTATATAGGAATTTTAGTTAACAAATGCAATATGACTGCTTGCGTTCACAGCCTTTTATTTGAAGACTTCATATTAAAAATATTAATTGAAATTTTATAATATCCCTCTGAGGTTAATAATATACCCGTTTTAAACAAGATACAGATGATGTGTTTTTTTTCATAAAGCTAAGCAGCAGAGGAAGTTAAAACAGACCTTTAATTCTGAATATCAAGTTTCTAAGTCTTTACTAGATGACACTTTTGGCTTATCACAATTTAAGTATGAATAATTTTTAATGACTAACCCTCTTGAGCCTTCTTATTGTAAAAATTTACGTGCAAGCATATCTTTTTATACATGTGAGCAGCTGTCAATAAAACTACTCATGTTCATAAGCCTCTGCAGGAGTAGTCTTACGTTGCGTGGTCAAAAAACTTACAGTAGAGATCAGAGAGTGGTGATTTTTGACTTGGTTGATGAGTTCTTGAGTGTGGAAAGCAGGGATAGAATAATGGCTGTCACAGAAGCCAAATTCAGTGGGCAGCTATAATTTTTAAAACATATTGTTCTTGCTATAGAAAAATAAATGTTTTAAGTAAGTAAGCTGTTAGATGCACACAACTGAAAGAAATCGCATTGTATATGGTAACTTTTTAGTTTGATTGACAAACCTTTGAACTCTGGTTCTGAGCATTTGTAGTTTACTGTATTTACTTGAATGTAAGACAAGGTGTCTGTGTCATGTGCCCCCCTGCTCCCCCACCCCACCCCACTTCTTGCTCCAGGGTTGGGGTTGGAGCAACCATGCGCCACAGGCTAGAGTAGGGCTGGAGCTGCTGAGAGTAATTGGCAGAGGGGAACAGGCGCCAGTGGGGTAGGCACTTACGGGGTAAGGCACTGGGGGCAGGTAGAAAGGGGGGAAAATGACAGGGAGGGGGGACATGTACTTCAGAGGGGCAGTGGATAAGGTGCACAAACACATAGGGAAGATAGTTGACAGGGGGTAAGGCACAGGGATTGAAACACTTGACTTGCCTGCTGCCTGTCCCCATTGCCTGTGTGCTCTGCTGCAACAGTTGGGGACAGATTTAAGACAACCCTTCAATAGTTAAATTCTGTACATGGAAACTTAACACCAAATTTATAAATTTTCCACATGCTGGGTGCTCATCTTAAATTTGAGTAAATATGGCAGTTTCACTACATAAAGCTTTAGGGCCATACAAGTACTTGGTCTTTGGTGTTAGATGTACTTTCTTTTCTCTGTGGTACCCACCCACCATAGCTAGGAACCTACTTACACTTCCCTTGTTAATTCCAACTTGGGAGACTGTCAGGATGTGTTTTTTCCAGTTCTGTAATTGTAGACGTACTCCATCCTGGTAATTCATTGTGTAGTTAATTCACCACCAGATAAAGGAATTTTTGCAGCTTGGTTGCAGCACAAAGAGCTGATTTTCATGGGCATTTCCTGGTGGTGGCCCCTCCCTTTGCCACTGATTGGCAGAGAGGCCCCAGGGGGTGGGGGAACAAGAGGGTGGCTGCCCTCTTGGCTTCATGCCACCCTGCCAGCCAGTGCCTTCTCCTCCCAGGTGGGCTACGTTTTACTTTTATTAAATTTTTTTAAGTTAATTTTGCAAATGATTGCCGATTTTGCAGTTTCTGCAAAAGCGCATTTTACATAGGTCCCCAACAATAGTAGGTGTTTCAGTTGTTGCATGGAAAACCTAGAAACCTATGACTCTTCAAAATGTAGGTATTCACCTGCATATGTAAATAGCTATATCCTTTTAAAAGAATACTGAGGTAGTACTTTAGGGAGGTATTGTGATGGCCTGTGGGGCAGGTGGGACTGAGGGATCCTCTGCGGGCCAGACAAAGCTCCTCTGTGGGCTGGATCTGGCCCCTGGGCTATATCACTTAATCTTTACTTAACCTATACGTGGCTCAGATGGTGTAGTCAAAGATGATCCAACAGGGGACTGGACTAGGTGACCTTATAAAGTCCCTTTCAACCCTGCTTTTTCTACAGTGCTAGTATGTAAATAACTTTATTCTCCTTTTTTGTTATTAAACTGTTTTACAGTACGAACCGAGATGAGCATTATGTGCGAATCTGTGTCATCAAATTCCTGTGTTTGTTAGATGAATCGAATAACTCGCACAAGATATTTGTAGAAGACCTTGTTACCAAACTCCTTGATAAAGTAAATATTAATTTTTTTTAAATGGCATTCTACTAATGATTAGTTGAAATGTAAGATATTGACAATTAAAGCAATACTGTGAAATGGTTAAAACCTCCTTTTAAACCATACATAGCTTTTACTTCTATGTGTCTCTATACCTTTTTGCCTCCAAAAAAAACCTTGTTTTTGTGGTTTGACTATTCTTTGGCTATATTTTTGCTGAAAGGTGAGATCAGCGTTTATTCAGCCAGAACTGAAGCAGTCTGAATAGCCAGGTTCTGGCTTGTTACTCTGTTTGTGGTGGGCTGTTTTGAGTTTATTGCACTCCAACCAGAAGCATCACTGGCTTGAGAATCTGTATTTTGGTTGCTTGTACTCTGGGAACAGCAAGGCAAAATCAGCACTTTTTAACATGTTATGTAGTACATGTTATGTCTGGTAAGCTCTAGGTTATGGGTAGGCATTTCCTTGAAGATTGGCTAATAGATTATAATAAAACAATAATAATATTCTGTTGGGGTGGGTATAATCCTAATCTTCACCAGAAATGTTTGCTGCCTCAGCAAGGCACAAGGCTAGTCAGGAGCTGATGCATTTGCCACCAGAACATCACCCATGTCTAGGAAGACCCTTTGGTGATGCTTTAAACTCCTATGAAAGTTCCTTTCTGGTAGCTACTTTTGGGCCTGAGCCTGTACCTTCCATGTACCACAGCACATGGAGAGAGATCCTGTTGGTGTAATTTGGTGTTTAATCTTTAAGACGCTCTAATTTCTGTTCAGGAACTGGAGTAGTGGACAGCTGGATTAAAGGTGAAAGAATACAATGGTAGCTTAAAGCTGCTTTGGGAACTTCACTCTTAAGCTAGGTTGAGCCATCTGTGGGGATTGTTATTTTGAACTATCGTTTATTTTCTTTTACAGCTTTACAGACCTGTTATGTAAATTTAAATTCCAGATAGATGCACTCACTTGTCTGTCCATTGCATCTCGGTAGGGTGAGGGGGAAAATCCAGTGTTCACTTTTTTTCTTCCAGCCCCAGCATTTTACAGCTAACAATTATCTGAATATTCATTAATATTTTGAATAGCTTTTTGTCCATGATCATCTCTGTTTTCTTCCCATTTTTCTGCATTTGCGTTTTACTGGCATAAAAGTCAAAGTTGGACATAAGTGTGTGTAGGAGTCGAGGGCTATGTCCCCAACTTGTGGAATTGTGTATAGAATGCCACAGCTGAAGGTCTGAGTTCAGATTTTTAAATTGCCTGGAGCACTTGTTTGGCCATAAAATATGAACTTTTTTACTTGGTAGCACAGGTCTGATGCTTCCACCATGGCAAATTTAGCTGTAGGATCCAGCTCTCTTTAGCTCTTAAAAACTACAGATTGTAATAGCAAATTGTTCATTATTTCATTGCTAAAAAGTTGAATATGTCTGATTATTGTTTTTATCTCCATTCCAAACAGTACCCACAGGTATAGAAACCTCAGTTGTTCATCAGAAACACTTGAGTTGGATTCTCTTTGTTATACAAAAGGGCTTCATGCAGCACAGTCTTTGAAAGTCTCAGAACCCTGGAACTTGTTCGTTTTTCAGTGTGAAATGGCTCAGACTGGGTGATGATCTGGGCATGATTCAAAACTGATTTATTTAAGAAGGCTTAGGGGAAGTAGCATTGAGAGGATGTGAAGGATGAGGTGGTTTCTTTGATTTATTGACAGGCTGGGCTAATGCTGCTGAGAATGGTGATCATAGTGTAATCAACAATTCTCCCTGTCTGTTGGTTGAAAGAGATGGAGATTAACAAGGCTACTGCAACAATAAGAAGTAACAGAGCTGGGTCTTGAAGTTCAGGCAGTAGAAGCTTATGCTTTTAGGTCCAGACAGTTTCCAGATTCAATCTCGTCTGTCAGTGGCTTGCTCAAAGAAATGTGGCACAGTTCTGTTTAAAGCGTTCAGGTAGCCAGACCTTCCCTATTATTCTCTGAAGAAAATAAGATGAGCTAAATAAAAAGTTAAGTTTGTGTTCCATTATAGTAACTGAGCTACCAGAATACTATAAAAAATTAGTCAAGGAAATAGTCCTTGCAATAAAATATTTAATGATATAATGCAGAATATATATAGAAATACTTACCTGACCTAAAGCCACATAAACAAGCTGCGTACAACTCTTTTTCTGTCATGTTTCTCCTATGTCATTTTTTGTTGATGAATCCCAATTAATATCTGTTTTAACTAGTTTGCAACTGATTCAGATTCAAGGGATGAGTAATTGCAAACATATTAATGCTGAACTCAAGTTTTCAAACTCCTAAACCTAAAGTACAGCATGGATTCTTACCTGCGCATCCCTGTAAGTAGGGGTTTCTATCTAGGATTCTCTGTTTACGTTTTTTGTGTGGTATAGGTCAGTGGTCTCCAAAGTGGGGTGCACGCACCCCAAGGGGTGCGCATGGTGATCCATTGCGGTGCGAGAAGAAAATATTAGAACTTCTATTTCTATTTATATAAATATACATATATTGGGGGTGCGTGCTCAAAAATTTTTTACTGATAGGGGTGCGTGATCAAAAAAGTTTGGAGACCACTGCTCTAGGTACTGCTCTTGGATAATCTTTGGAAACATTGTTTCAAAGTAAGGTTGTCATCTTGACACAAGATTTGTATGCTCTTACAAAGACAAAAATATGCTACTAGCTTGCTTAATACTTTTACTGGCTCCCTTTATGTTGTGTGGTGTTCAGACTACAATTCTGAAGAACCAAAAACTTAAGATAATACATTTTGCTTAATTCAAAATAATATTTTAGTAGACAATACTTACGTATATAGTGTTCCATTTTTTTAATTTTACAGGTTTTAAAACATTTCTTATATGTTGCATTTCTTCGCAGGATGAACTGATATCCAAAACTAGAACACGTTATTATGCAAACTCTTTACAGCACAGAGTTAAAAACCGGTTGTGGCAGACACTGTTGGTTCTTTTACCAAAGCTAGATCAGGTATTACCCTTTATTATTTCTGATTTTTTGGTGTTAGGATTTTTAGAAGGTTTCTGACTATATATTAAATTAGAGTTATGTCTAGTAAATGAAATGCATTAAATGCATTATTAAATTATTCCATCTGTGTTTGATTATTTGCAAAGTCTTATGTGATACAACCTTGACTCCTGAAACATGAAATTACATGTTAGCTGACTTTTATAGTAAGAAAATACTGTTAGACCACCTGTGCTTTGAATGCTTATCTCTGTAAATTAAGACTGGCTGTTACAATTATCTGCATGCACAGTAGTAATGTTGAAACTTGTACATGAGTTCCACTTCTGTGGAGGGCTGTGCTAAGGCACAAGGAGGTGACTAGGCTTGAAGCTGAACAGAAACTAAGGAGAGGGAGGGGAAAGTAGGGGGGAAGGACTGCTCTCATATTGACTGTGTAGCTGGCCAGTGATTGTGATACTTCCCCAAATCCCTTCCAATCCCAGTGCTGTGAGGGAGGGACAGAAAAACAGCGTAAAAAGCATTGTTTGAACTGAGCTTTCTCTGTGCCTTGGGTCAGCTTACTGAGCTGTGTCTTCCAGCAGCTCAACACCTATGCATCCATCTCCTTGAAACCCCTGCACCCATTTCCTTGAAACCTAGCAGGTTTCAAGGGGCTACCATGTCTGTTGCTTTTACCCCGCTCCACCTTAACACACACACGACACAAGTTTTGCTCATCAGCACCTTGAGGTGCAGTTTCCCAGAAACCCCTGCACCTATCTCCTTGAAACTTGGTAGGCTTCGTGGCCTCAGTAGGGGCTACCATCCCTGCTGTTTTCATTCGAAATAGGAAATGACAAAAGTTGTAGGCATTTTTGTGATTTCCCATTATAGCCTATGGGTGAGACTTCAAAACGCGTCAAAATAGCAAAACAGCTTCGAGGAAACAAAATGGAACGGTGCTTCGAAACAGTGAAATGAAACACTCCCTTCGAAACAGCAAAACAGAAGTTGAAACGAAGCGGTGCTGTTTCTCATAGCCCTAGTGACTAGGTTGGATCTATTTGCAGCCCTTGAATTATGAATACTCAAGAATCTAAAAGTTGGAGTGACTGGTGCTCTTAAACCCCATATTTCCAATAACTGCATTAACTGCTGGTTTTCATTTAATAAAAGTATTACATTTTTTGATGGTAAGATTGTTTAGGAATTGCTTTTTAAAATGGCAGCACTTGTTTGAATTTTTCTTTTTAATGGAATACCTGGCATAGCTTGAGTAAACTGTCACAATGATTAAAAATACAGTGGCCTGTTCTGTCTAAAATATAGCTGCAGAAGCCATCTTAAAGGTCAGTGAAAACTGTTAGCATTGTACAGGTGCTATGTTCAGTCCTTAGAAGAGGAAGAATGATGACCCAAATGTACTGCAGTGCAATGCAGTTTTAATAATAGAACACTCATGTATCACCCTATTACAGGTAATGCTCAATATTATATTAGTTATAAATAGTTATATAAAACAGTGATTGTTTGCAACTAAGATGCATTTTGTTGATTCAGTTTTATTTTTTAAATATAAACAGTACTTCCTTTCCTTTCCTTAAAATGTTATCATATGGTTTAAAAAAAAAAAAACACACTTTCTACTGTGTTGAGATTAACAGATTTGGCCGGTAAGACTGAAACAGCAGTTCTGCAGCGTACTTCTTTCTGAACTCCCATTGCATATTACATTTTCACACTTTGAACATACAATATATAGACATTGGATGCATCTAAGTCGGGGGTTGTCCACTGGATGTACGTGTACCCCTGGGGGTACTTGGTCCAGTCCTAAGGGGTATGTGCGGGTGCGTGGTGACAGAGTGCCACTGCTTCCCAGGAGCAGGGTGAGAGCAGTGGCACACCTCTGTGGGGTGGGAAAGCTCACAGTGGCCGCCACCACTACACACCAGCTCGGTGAGCTTCCCTGCTCCGCTTAGGTAGAAATATCCTTGTAAAATCTGGTCTTCAAGGTTAGCAACATTCTGAAACTTCCTTTCAGTTTAAAAAAGAATACGTTACTTTATCGTTTAATTTTATTTTATTTAGAATTTTTTGACTGAGGCGCTTGACAAGATTCTTCAAGCTGGATTTGAGAACAATCAAGCATCTGTAAAATACTTGATAGAATGGATTATCATCTTGATTCTACACACATACCCCCAATTCCTTTCAAAATTCTGGGATTGTTTTTGCTATGTAAGTAAGAATTTTCACATTCATGTATTAACTTAATGACTAAATATAGGATGTTTTTCCAGATACGGTATAGTAGCTAATATGGTTTTTCTCATGCATCCAAAATTTCCCTTTTAAGTCAGTGGATTTATTGAGCGCTTACAGAATCAGTGAGTCTCAGGAACTGATTCTGTAACCCAGTCCAGGACTTCTATGATATGAAAGGGGCTCAAACTAGGTGAATTTTTTTTCAGCTTGAGAGTCTCCATGTGTAGTCTGGATCCCCATGCAGAGTAATTCTTGGTGTATTGATTTAGTGTTGCTCCTTTTTGCATTCAACACCATAGGGACTTTCAGAATATGAAAGGATGGCTCCATAATATTACTGCAAGCTTTGGAGTTTCTCTGACTAATGCTTATGGGCTAAGCTGCAAAGGGGTTGCAAATAGTGATCTTTGCTCCTGCCCCCTTATCCAAACTTTCACCTTAGAATGCAAAATGGAATCTGGCTCCAGTGTACCTATATTGTGTAATGAATAGACCCACTGACAAATTGCATCTTTTAATGTGCCAGTCTTCTTCAGCTGTTTATGCAATTTGGAAACAAATATTGTATTCCTCCAAGAATTGCATATGTCTGTCTTTGCAAATATTTTGCACTTTCTTTCTTTGCTAAAAATACTTGTATAATTTACAGTCTTCACTGAAGGAAAATCTTCCATGAGGCTTTAATGCAGTGGTGCCCTCCTCAGGCCAGATGGACAGTGCTCTGACCCTCCACAGGTCTGAACCTGGGGGGTCTGATTCAGTGCAGGGCAGGGGCTGTAGCCTGGCCTGGCCTAGCCCTGCCTGATCCACCTGTGTGGTAGGGGGAAGGGGGCTTGGTCTGGCCCTGAACCAGCCCTGTGGGAGTGGGGAGGAAGGGGGTGTGGTGCAACTGAGCATGCTGTGTGTGGGGGTGTGTGGCTTGGCCCTCATAAGGCTGCACTGGCCTCAGGAATTTGGTAGTAGGGGAGGCTGACAGTATTGATTACCACTGCTCCTCTGCCACCAGTTTCCCTATGGGAAGCCCCATGGGCCAGATGCCATGGTTTCATGGGCCACAAGTTGAGCACCCCTGCTTTAATGTGATTAACAGACACAATACATAAATAAAACAAAAACTTTGTGTAGACAGGTGGGGGCCTTTCTCCTATGGTGGGAACCCTTATGGGACTCCAGGAGGATTTCCTTTACAGGAGAATGGTCTCCCTGCCTGTCCTGCCAATCAGCTGATGAACAGTATGGGAAGAAGGGCAGAATTCTCTCAGTGCTGGAAATATCCTAGGGTCTCTAGGAGGTCTCCAGTCTGCATCTGCCTCCTGCTGTACACCTCTGGGTTAAACTGAAGGAGTGCATCATGCGGGAGCTCTCTTCCCATGACAGAAACCTTCCCAGGGGTCTAAGAAGGTTCTTCTCTCAGAAAAATGCCCCCTGCCTACCATTACCAATCAGGTGATGGGAAAGATAGGGGACAGGCTCCCTGACAGCTCACACTTGGATGGGCTGTCAGGGAGTGAATGTTCTCCCTGCCTTCTTACCTCCAAGATGTTCAAGTTGGATCAGAAAGAGACTAGCAAAGATCCTGGTTTTCTCTATTAAAAAATAATACAAAACTCTCTGATTAAAAGTCCAGAAATGTCTGATTAAACAACTCAAAGTCCATGTTTTTCCTAGATTAAAATGAAACACCACATCAGTTGAGCACAATGTCTTATTGCTATATTTACAATTTTAAAGTAATTTGGAAGCCTACCAATGCATCAATTATTATAATAATTCTGAATACGTATGTATTTTGGTGTTTGATTTTGGTTTTTTTATCATGGAAAATCAGAGTTCTCCCTGCTCCCTTTACTCACCAGGATGCGGGTCCGGCTGTGGCCTTCCCAGCTGTTTTGTGGTGCTGAGGAGCCCTGATATACCAGTGCCCTGCCCATGTTGTTGCCCCTCATTCTCAACCCACAGCCTTGCTGATTCCCTTCACTCCCAACCTGTATCCCCGTGGTCCTCCCAATGCCCTTCACTCCTGACCCGTGGTCTGTCCATTCATTTCCCTCCTCCCCCCCCCAGCCCATTAGTGTGTAGGGAAGAGTATGTGGGGCAAGGGGTGAGGGTGTGGGCATAGGTGGTGCAATAGGTGACACGTTGGGAGGGCATAGGGGGATACGTGCCTCCTCAGTATTCTGCACCCGTAGCAGAGCATGGGCCTGCAGTCTGGCTGGACTAGCACCAGGTAGGAGCCACCTTCATGGCCCAACAGGTAGGATCTGGTACAGGAAGGAGTGCCACGCCAACATGGCTGCCAAGATGTGGTACTTCCTGCCTGTTTGGCAGCAGTGGGGAGGCACAGCTGTGCACTGGCAGGAGCCTCATGGCCACAAAAGCAACACCAAGTTTCCCTGTTCCGCTCTGTCCTTCCACACTGGGTCCTGCCCACTGGGCTGTGGAGGCGGCTCCTGCCCATGCCAGTACAGCCAGGCTGCAGTCCCTGTGCCCTGCTGTGGGTGCAGAAATCTAGGAGGGCACGTGCCCTCTCAAGCTCCCACCCGTGTTTCCTATGTCCTCCTCCCTCCCCTGCCTCCCCATGTGTCACCTAATCCTCCTTCCCCCTGTACACTTACCTGCAGGGAACTGTTCTCCACCACACTGCTTGGCTGCATTGCTGGCCACATGCACGTGTACCTGTGCCTCTGATCGCCCTCCTCCCATTCCTCAGTCCCAAGCCACCTCTTGTATGCTGAAACTCTGCCAGCCTTCAAGGGGAAATCTGTGTTTTCCCGGGTTTTTCTCCTTTCTTAGTTTGCAAGCTATAGTTTTATTTCTGTGCTCACACAGATTGCTCAAAAGGCCCATCTAAATTGTTCCTAAGGAAAAGATCTATAAGGATCTACCTTGACATGGGGAAACCTGTTGGCAGCAATCCCTTCCTGCTGCAAAGATGCTTCATCTAGTACCCTGGCTAGTAGATTCCCCTTGCAGAGATGAGAAACCTGCTTGCTGTCAGATACGTCATATTGGTAGCAATCGCATTGAATTATCTGGCCTTAACTATATTGATGAAGGAACTGTGGATCATTTAGGTTCACTTTTATGTCCATTCTGTAAGATGCATAAAGGTGTAATGGCCACTTGTGTCCCCAACTGGTTAAAGATACTGGGCTTGTGCATGAAAAGTGCTCATGTATCTATAGTGGGATTTGTGTGGGCAAAAGCACCTTGAAGAACTCAAGTTACTGTAAACTAAGTCATCTGGAAACTTTCAGAAGACTGGAAGGGGGTTAATGCTATCCCACATTGAAAAAGGGGCAGGTGGGAAGACCTGGTCAGTTATCCTGACATCAGTTCCAGACAGAATAATGGAAAACCTGATATTCAGTTCAACTGATAAAGAACTAGAACTGCAGTCAGCAAGGTTTTGAAGTGTTGGGCTGTATTAACCTTGGCTCAAGTCTGAGGAGAGCTTACCTGGCTGTTGCTGCCACTATCGATTCTTCTGGTGTGAGCTGGATCCAGTCGCTCTTCAGGCTCTATGTTGTCAACCCCAGCATGAACTAGAACAGGGGTGGGGAACATTTTTGGTCAGTGTGCTGAAAAAACTGTGATGTATACCTTATAAGGTGCTGGAGGGCCAGCATACCAGAAAAACAAAACAGAGGTAGGGGATGCATAGCAGGATGCGCTGCATATTAAGATAGTTAATCATAAATGTTGCTGCATTTTTCACAGTAAATACCAGGTTTTCTAAATATTCTAAACCTGGTGATAAATAAAATTTCACGTACTACCTTTGTTTTGTATGTTTTAAGCATGTTGTGATGAGAGAGAGAAAAGAGAGAGAAAGAAGAGGAAAAGAGAAAGGAGAGTGGGGGAGTGAGAGAGAGAAAAAGGTGGAAGAAGAAGAAGAAATAGAAGAAAAGGAGAGACAAAAAAGCACTAACTACCTGGGTAGGAGCAGGGCAGGCTCAGCTGCATGGGGCGGGTAGTGGCGGCCAGGGCATTGCTGGAGGGCGGGGGGGGCGGGCCAAGGCAAATTTTGGGCTGACTATAGTCCCCCAAGTCCCCACCTAGCACTGCTCCTGTGTGCTGGGCTCCAGACCCTGGTGCACAAGGTGGTGTGTGGGGGGGGTGGCTATAGCCACCCCAAAATTTGCCTTAGCCACCCCCCCCATCCCCTGTAGCCACCTCCAGCACTGCCTGGGCTGCAGCCACATGCCTCACTCAGCTGAGTCTACCCTTCCCAGTGCCACCTGCTGCCTGCCCCACACAGCTGAGACTACCCTACTCCTGCTCACAGCACAGTACCCCATCAGCCCTGCCATCCCACCAGGAAGAGGCTGGTGCCACCCCTGCAGCTGGCCCAGGCTCTGGATAGCTGCTGCCAGCTATGGAGCTTGGGCGGCTTGCGGCCTCCCAGCTGTGTGCTGGGAGCAGCCTGGGCTCTGTGGGTAACAGCAGATGGCCAGAGCCCAGGCTGGTGGCGGTATGCTGAGCAAAATGGCCTCTCATGATCTAAAAAAAAAATGGCACTGTATAACATCCATGATACGCACAGTGGATTAAGAACTAGCAAACTGACAGACCTAAAAAATACTTGATAGTGGGGAGTGATGGGTATAGGGAAGAGTTATGAGTGTTTGTAGTGGATTTCTTTAGGCACTGCTACAGGACTCCAACCCTTGAACATTTTCATCATAAACTTGGAAGTAAGCATAAAATGATTACTGATACAATTTTTAGGGGAGACAAAGATTGGCAGACTGATTCATGATGATGATGACAGGGTAGTCGTGCAGGGGGATCTGGATTGCTTGTCAAAGGCCATTCACACAAGATGCATAATTTATACATCTAGGAACATACCTACAGAATGGATGCTCTGGAAAGGAATTTCAGATGGACAAGCATCTGACCATGGACTGCAAG